ATTAAGTGTGTTTCATTTAAAGAATGAACAATGGTGTCAAGGATGGAGGCAAACTGCTGCTGACAAACAGAACAAACAGTTAAATCTCGAGCATCCTTCGAGGAGCCAGCAAAGATGAGAATAACCTCCTTATTATTATTAATGTAACGTAAACCTGTCGGACACAATGCGCCCTTTTATAAATCAAACACAAGCCTCCGTGTCGAAGCCTGCCGAGCAGAGTTTAGCAGAAAAGTCGCACAAAAGCACCATTTTTAAATCATCATCTCTCCTCGCCAACTCCACATTTCCTTCCTCTGCGTTTACATCATATAATTAAATCCACTATGTACATTTTCCCTGCCCGCTCCATCAGCTGAAAAGGCCATTTATTCAGAAGTGCTGCTACAGTAAAACACTGCACAGGGGAACCCCAGTGAGTGATTTCCTGATGTTTCCAAGACAAACCTATTGAGAATTAAAAAAAAAAAAAAAGCCCCTTCTCCATCTCAGTTCAGGTCTTTTGGGTTTTAATTGAGCTTAGAATAACAGAAGGGGGCATGCAGGATCATTCCTCACCTTTAATAACACACATGTACACACGTGTGGAAGCAGACTGTGGAGGTGCACATGTGATGCAGTTATACGGGTATTTAATAGACGATATAATGAACCTAAAAGGATGAGGAGCTGCATTTTGTGTCTTCAGGTGGCATCAAAATCTCCACAAGGACTTCTCATGTAGTCTTCAAGTGAAAAAATTGAACACAATTTCGCAAAAAGATTAAAAATCGTCTGAAAAAATGTTATCAAAAGTTAAAAAAACAACATTTAAAATAGATTTCATGCGTCCTGAATGTGACGCAGCCTATGCCTGTGTATCCTCACGCGGCCTACGTACCACCTTATTCTCATTTTCTGGATCGAAATCGTGCCAAACCGCTGCTCTGGTTTTTACGAGGTGTCATCTGTCAAACTTTCCACCTTGCTGCTTTACAACATCCTGACATTAGCGCAGTTAGAGGGGGGTTAGTCACGTCTGCAGCCAGTGACGGATGACTGTACTGTCCCATCTCCTGCTAATATCGTGCCGTGGCTCTTTCCATCACCGAGGCTGGGATGTCGGAATAAAGAAACGTTAACAGAAAAGTGAGCTGGCTTTAAATGACAGAATCCCAGAGCTTTTGTATGAAACAAGATTCAGTTTCTTAACTGTGTCTTGCTGCGTGTACAATAAAACCAAACAAAAGTCAGATAAAAATAATAAAAGAGGTACTTTTAGGTTGCTCCTTGTGTGCTCCGGTCAAAGCCAAAAATAACTGATTTAAACTTCCAACACACACACACACACACACACACACACACACACATTACCTTTACACGTTCCTAAAAACAGACCTAATAAGAAGCACGGACGTCCATCCATTCACATGCCATCTCTGCACCAACAGGCCCCTCGTGTTATTAAAGGAGGTGGTAATGACTTCTGGCTTTTGACTAAGGGCTCTTTTCCACTGTTAAAACTATACAAGAAGAGCCAAGTGTGCGAATGTGTGCATTTCATCATCCCTGGGCGAGCTCAGTGTGTGTGTGTGCTGTCTGGCAGCAGACTCCTGCAGCACCGTCCAGAGGGTTCCTTGTTCCTACAGTAATGACTAACACCAGCCTGGCGAACGCTGTGACGTGATTGGCAGAGAGTCGGGGTCGAAGAGCAGCAGGGTCCCGCCCAACGTCGAGGTCCAGATCCGTTATTAGAGTCAGTGACTCGTCAATCAAAGCCGGTTTAATTTACACGCGGGTGGCCGAAGCTGCCAAAACACAAATAATAGCTCCTTATGAGTAAGAAGCACACAAACCGTATAGAAACACTGATTCATCCACAGAAGTCTGCACAGATTAGAGGTGGTTATACCGTAACACTGACTGTCAGCTTCACACAGTCTTGTTCTCGCAGGTGTTTTGAGGCCAAATTTGATTTTTTTCCATGTTTTTGTTGCTGACTTGGAAGCACATGAGCTCAAACCCTTCAGAAGAAGTCACCGAAGAGTCAAACTAAGCGTGTTTAATGCTAATTTTATGGAAAACAGACTGCTTTACCGAATAATCTGCATATTTTTAATAATTAGTTCAGTCATTTTTTTAAAGAAAAATGCTAAAAAATTAATGTGGTGATGATAAATTAGACAGGTTTGGGTCTTAAATGGTTCCTCAGACTAAAACAAGCTACTTCATTAAGCTATCTTGAGCATCTTTTAAACATATTCTGTCATTTTACAGAAAAAAAAAACAATCAAGAAACTAATCTGCAAGTTCACCCATGATGAGAGTTATTTGGTTCATTTATTAGCCGTTTGGAAAATCTGACTTTGTTGACTTGGCAAAACTAACTTGCATTGAAAGAGCCATTTGTTACCCAAACATGTGTGGCATGTGTGCAGACTGATGCACTCATGTCTGCTCACACACACACACACACACACACACACACACACCAGCATTGGGAAATCCCCTTGAAGTCAGACGAGCAGGACATACCAGACACTGACACACACACACGGTGGAATTAACTGGGTGAGATTCTCATAACCAGTAGCATTCCTCAGACGTTTCTGTCTGTCCACTGGTCGGTCTGCGTGAATGACAATTTACAGTATACAAGTGTGCGTAAATGCTGCTTTGTGCACGCCTAACAGCTTTAGACGGGAGCCCGCCCGCTGCAGAAACGGGAGCAGAGAACCCGCAAACGCTCCGAGTGCTGGACGGCTGATCTGGTTTCAAGCCCAGAACAAGACGCGTCGCTGCCAAACAGCTGTCTGAAGCTGTCCGGGAAGACAAAGTGGTAGTTGTAACACCCATAAAGTCTTCCACACTGGGTTTAGGACTCATTCAAGTTGGGAATTACGGAAAGTATCAACGTCAGGGAGACAGGAAAGTTGATAAAAACAACAAAACGCACGGAAAAAGTGACTGTTTCTTCTCTCTCAACATGCTTCTGGAAAATGTGTTGCACTTCAGCCTTCATCCACTAAGTGGCAACAGCTCAAGGGTCTGCAGTTAATTGACGCTGAAGCACTTGGAAGACTTGTGCACGTCAATTTAAACTGTGAACAAAACTTATAGCGAAGGAAACTTGATCCAAAACCATGTAAACTCTTCAGTCCTGCCCTCATGTGTAATTTGTTTTATATATACAATATGCATGCAGTGCTGTGTAAAAGCACACTCTTGTTCATAGAAATATATTTCATGTTTGACAGCATGCTCAGTTTCACTTTTACGTCAAAAAGTTGTGGATGATTGGCAAGAAATTCAGTAAATATTTTTTTTAATAGCCAACATGATTCAACACAGTTAGGTTTCCAAACACAGATGAAAAAACAGAGTCCTGCTCAGAACAATGAAACTCTACATGTTGATCTCAGATCTGCAGCTTTCACCCTACAGTCCATGTTAAGATGCCAACTGGAGTCTAGTTCACCGAGTGGAAATGTTCCTGCCATTAGTTCCACTGACGAGGTGTGGGGTGGTCAGACACTATTTGTCCTCCTGCACCAAGTACGGCATGCAAAATAAACATTAGATCACTAGCTGTAGATTAACAACAAATCAAATAAGTGTGACACTCGTAGTGACAAAAGTTTTATCATCTTTCAGCTCATTGCCTTAGCTTACAGTTTCACTTCACTCTGAGGAAGCTGCGCTGAACGCTGCACATGTGAGGTTTGCTTCTGGTCACAGAGAGTTAAAAAATGTTAAATCTGGGTTAAACGTTGTCGCTTTTTATCCAATCATCCAATGTGGCCTTAAGCACTCCTGGCTGGGCATCTTCAAAGGAGTGTCTGGCTTTATCAGCAGGTAAAAACAATATACTCTGGTGGACACACAGCTTTAAAGCTATCAGTAGCAGCTTTTTTTCCACAAAAGAGTAATTAGAAACCCTCACCATGCACACAGGCAGAAACACAGCAATCTGCAGGTAAAGATAGACGAGCACTATCAGGTAAAGAGTCAGGTGTTGATCTCAAGGGTTTCAAAAGACCAAAAACAGAGCAAAAGTTGAACTTACATTCATTAGGTGAACAGAAACACGACTCCAAATGAATGTCACCGTGTTTCCAAAAAGGTTAAAACAATGACAAGTCGACCATTTTGTTCATCTTTTTCCATTTTTTATATTTCACTTACTGTCGGACTGCACTGCTGACGCACACAACGACAACAAAGTTCGCCTTGAAGCACTTAACAAGACAACCTAATGATTATCTCAATTCATCTCTCCATTACTTTTCTCCATTAATCGATTTGTTTTTTGTGTATAATGCATCAGTAAAAGATGAAAAGCCTCCATCCACACGCTATGTCCACAACCTACTGATTTACTGTCACATAGGAATAAAGAAACCAGAAAATATTCAACTTTAGGAAGCTGGAATCACAGCAATATGACTTTTTTTTTATTATTATTATTCAGACCAATTAAATTAATTGTAAAATATTTGACAACAAAGCAGTTAGTCATTGCAGCTCTAATATTCAAGACTGCAAATGTTGTCATCTTGCCAGTGGCTCTTTTTAGCTGCTTGCTAAGTTCTCATACATTCTATCGTGTGCTTGGCCCTCGCAGACACTCCCTCCTTCACGCTCATCAGAGTTTATCTGCTTCCCCTCCGACACCCCAAAGGTCAGAGTTGGCTTCCTGTGAAACATTCTGCATCTGACAACACCGCTTTTATGTGTGTTTGCACGTCTGGCTAGCAGATTCCGAGCACACCGGGAAAAGGACAGTGGCCTCCTGGCCGTCTCCTCCCTCACCTTCCTTCCCTTCCCACCGCTGCGGGTCAACGTCAAGACAACGCCGGTGTCGGTAAGCAGAAGAACAAAACAACAACACATCCGTTTCTGGAAGACAAATGCTCGAATTCTCGCTTTGAAGTCACGAAACTGCGTGCAGGTATTTCGCGTGCGTGTCAACGAGAACGATGGTGTGTCTGCGAATGAATCCATCGTGGCGGCGTGTTTACCTCCTGACTGTGAGCTTCAGTATCCTGTACGATCCCTTGATGAGGATGAGGGCTTCCTGCCTGCTGCCGTAGAGGGCGGATCCGTTTATGTTAATGAGTTCATCGCCAACTTTCAGCTTCTTGCAGTGGGCAGCCTTCCCTCCATCCTCGATCTGGAGACAAAGACGTGAATTGGTTGAGATGAAAGAGAAAAGTTGGAAGGCAAACAGAAGGACATTCACATTAAGAAAGAGAAAAAACTCATCGTAAGAATAAAAAAGTCACTCAAAGATACATGGACGCTGCCAAGCAGACTCCTATAAAACCCACTTTTGGAGACATTTTTGTTAAACTGTCTCTGTCCCCATGGCAACTGTGCCCTAAAGAGCATCTCCAAAACAGGCCGAACCAAACATCCCACAGAAACTCATCACATTCCTCTGTAATAGACTGTGTGTGTGTGTGTGTGTGTGTGTGTGTGTGTGTGTGTGTGTGTGTTTGGCACAGCGGTGACCGCGGGTCACACAGTGGTGAAGCCTTGTGCTGTTAACGCATTGCTGGGATGCTTCGGTGTGTTTTTTGGGCTGCAGAGAAGTGAAAAATTGACGAGTGTGCGGTGCATTGTGGTGTGAGGTTTGAATTCAGTCATAAATCACACATGAGGGGGAAGAAAGGATGAAAGGAATAAAGAAAGACAGGAACACACAGACGGACGGGCTAACTGACCAGCTCTCACACTGGACCACCAACAGGAGGAGAAGCAGGCCAGCAACGATGAGAAATCAGAGGGGGATGTGATCCGCTTTTAAAGTGAAAAAGATGTTTTCAAGCATGTGACTTTGTTGTGTACTGGAGCAGCAGAACAGGATGCTCTTGTGCTGGAAGAACGATGATTCCTAAGCAGCTTTAATGGATCCAAACTGCAAACATAAAATGCATCAGTTTGTTTGTGACAAAACAAACAGACACTGAGCTTCTGGAACAGAAAAAATAAAACCTTTCATGGTCTGTAAGTGAACAAATGTTACTGCTGTTAGTACATTATATAATTTAATTAATCATTCTGAGTACAGATTAAAATGTTTATTTGGTTCTGAGAAATCAAAAAAACTATCAAGAAACAGAAGTTGCATTTAAAGGATTTGGGTCTAGTTAAGGGAACGTCTGAAATTAGCTTTCTGACTCACTAGCCACGTGAACTGGTGCATGAATGAATCCATCAGCCGGACATATTGTAGAAAAGTCAAAATAATAACTCCCCTTTTTGTAACACACATACATTGTTTTCAGTCCATTTGACTGATAAAAGGGTATTATGTTGAATATGTTGAATGCATCTGCTATAAATTGTACTTAAACACCATTTAGCATTTGGATCACCGTATTTTTTGTATTAGGGTCTGCATGAACTTTTGTTTTGACCAAATATCTGTAAAAATAATGGCCCTTCCATCAGCCTCAGTTGAACTGTGTGTGTCTCGTGCCACTTATCAAATGCTAGCATGCTAACACACTGTAAACATTACACACAGTAAGCAACACATCCTAGCATCGATGCTGTCAGTATGTTAGCACGCTGATGCTAGCATTTAGCTCACAGCACCACTGTGCCCAAGTACAGTCCCACAGAGCTATTAGCATGGCTGTAACTTTAAGTTTGTCATGTCTGCAGACTACTGAGAAGAGAATTACAAAATTAATTTAACATCATTTTGTTTGTTCACACAGTAGAAGTGAAAAGCGACCACAACCTTAAACATGTTTCTCATGCTTAGGTTTGCCAAACTGATAGTGTGTTACTCAACAAGTTAAGAATGTAAACCTCTGTTCGTATCTGTGAAGGCGATGATAAAGTGTTGTTTGTTTAGTATCCAATAAAAAGAGTGACATCCTTAAGAGAGTACTTTGGACAACATAGACTCAGTTTGGATTAGAGTTTGGCAAGCGAATAAAGGGCATTCATGGGTTCATGGATGATTAATACCAGTGGGAGTACGCCAGATTAAATGTTTACTGTTATTTTTACGCAAGTGTTTTCCACATTTTACACTCGACCAAGAGCAAGTGAAATCCGGTTTTCTCTCCTTCCTTTTCAGGGGTCACCGAGCAGGTTCGAATTTGGCTTTATTCACCAGCCCTTTGAGATATCGAACTCAGGTGAATTCCACTATTAACCCAGGAAACCGGCTGTTTAAAGATGCTTCCAGGGCAAATATAAAACGCCGAATTCCTGTGTGAATGCAGTGTGGAAATGGAGAGCAGACTTGTCCCTCCCTCCCTCCACCATTCATTCATTCATTCATTCTCTTGTTCTGCTGCTGCACAAATCAAAGGAATGCATGTCATGGAAACACAGGTCTGATTTTACGGTTTTAGGATTTTACAGACACGCAGTGGGGAGCGCTGCCTGGGAGCCAACTCAAACATAAATCGAGATCTTTCATATATTAACTCATGCTCTCTACCATGTTCTCTTGGGCCTAATGCTGTCACGAATTCTGACTTCAAAGGTTATTATTTTAAAATCTGATCCTGCAGTAAAGCCACTCCAAACATGGAAAACCATCAAGCGGTCAACCACATTTGAAGTGGGCAGCTTTATCACAACTTTGGGTTTTGAGGCTGGTCACGTCTGTGTTTGTAGAAGCTAAACCATTTTAGGTGAACTGGTATCCAGTTCAAGACCTGCGGGATGGTTTGACGCTGCAGTCGGGTTTCTAAGTATGTTGAGACGAGATTAAAACCAGTCTAATTCTCTTTTTCCTCCTTGTTTGATCTGTTTTAATCTGCATTCCCACAAAAAAAAGTCTAAAAGGAGGAACAAAAGTTTGGTTACATCTTTAAAAAAACCACATTAAGAGAAGAGAACTGACAAAGTGATGAGAAACACGAGGAACAAAGTGACGTGAGGCAAAGACAAAGTGCTTTTAAGAAACCATAACTTTTGTTAAGTTGGATTAATGGTCTCTCTGTGTGCATTGTGCAGCTCTCCACCTATGCAGAGTGAAGGATTGTGGGAATTCCACCGACGCATAAGCTATAAAGACACGCTAGACGAGCCAACAGAGCGTGATGCTGCTCGTGGGTCAAAGGCTGATTGGCTGAGAGGTGGGCTTGAACCAGAAATGACAGCAGAGATCAGCGGAAGAACCGCAAAAACCAAAAAACAACAAAAAGAAGGGGCCGTTCATTAGTGCCACCTCATGCCTGCCACGAGTAGCTGCAGTGGACAGCTGCCTTATGACTGTATTGGATAACCACGAATATGAAAACCAGCATCATACAAAGGAGTTCTTTGTCTGCTATGATTTCATTTTTTTTTCCATTCCAGGAACAAAACAAAAGGCCCGACAACAGCTCAAACACTAACATGAGCAGCAAGTAACAAGCTGTGAAAAGAAGCAAAAGTAGACGAGGTGAAGCGACAGGAAGGAACAAAAAGTGACCATAGATGTGTGAAATGAGTCTACTACGTGATTGAACGTTGCCACCCTCAGCACCAGACTTGGTTAAACTAATTATTAATATTTGATTAATGTACGTTGTTGTTAACTGTCCACCGCTAGCCGGGGCTGCAGCCTCAGCAGACAGTCTCTTCACATGCTAATGCTCATGATTTTGTGAGCCAGCAACATAGAAAGTGGAACAGATCTTTAAAAACCTGCACGATTTAGCAGAATTATGATCTAAGAAATGAAAACAAGGCTGTATACAGGGCGTGCCACCATAAACTAGCATTGGTTTTAGTCTGGTCTACTCGCGTAGATTAAAAGTTCAGTTTAATCAACAGGGAAACTAGTTGTAAAGTCAAAGCATCAGCTGATCATAAAATACAAGATCATGCACGGTGCAGATCTTACTAATCATGTCTGTTTTGGTTGCTAGTGCCCTGATGGTGTGCCCTTGAGCAAGGCGCTGAAGCATGAGCAGGTTCAGCTAAAGTTCACCTCTGACCCCGACAGAAATAAAACAAATCCTCCTCACAGGGCGCGATGAAGAAAAATGTACATCACACTGAAGTGCATTCAAGCATTACAGCGATTCGCACATACGTTTTCTAAAATCTGAGAAAATACACACACACACACACACACACACACACAATATGGCCGCCGGGCTGAGCTGAATGCATTTGACACAGAGTTTATGTTCAGTTGTTTCTAATGAGTTTTTCATTATGAAAACAAACCAGAGGCAGAAACGGCTTCAGTGGTGAGATGTTTAACACTGCTTACAATGAGGATCACTGTTCTCCCTCACACACACACACACACACACACACACACACAAACACACACACACATATATATATATAAAGTTCCCAAAAAAACAACGTGCATGGTTAGGAAACACAAACACAGCAATAATATGACCTCTAATTATCCAGCAATGTAATAAATGCAGGACTGCGCTGAAATAAACATTGCTGCTAGAAGAATAAAACACACACACAAACACGAGCCCTGCTCAGCGCTTGGCTCTGCTAAAACTATCAGCGCATCGCAAGGCTTGAAAAGTAATCTGTCATTTTCCCACGGATATATGAGGAGAGGAGCGAGGGAAGGAGACGAGGAAGAGAGGGAGGAAGGAGAAGATGGAGATAAGGGGAACGTCCTGAGAGGACAATGAGGAGAGAATGAATGACAGGAGGGTTAGAAAAAGAGACTGTATGAAGGGATGACAGGACGCAGGAAAGAGGCTAAAGAGAGGCGGGAGGAAAGAAAGGAGGAAATAAAACACAGGAGATGAAGGGAAAAGAGAGAGAATGAAGATGGAGAACGGCACGGATGAGCAATAAGAAGCAGCAGAGAAGAAAGAAGTGAGGGAGGAGACGACCTCGGGGCAACAGGCTGTAATTTGTCACACACACACACACACACACACACACCTGTGGGTTTTATATACCAAACCCCAGCAAGCAGGTATGCGGGCCGTAATTAGAGAGCGGTAATAAGAGAGTTTATTATGGACGGAGCAGGCAGATGTATGTTTCTGTGTGTGGCTGATGAAGTCATTAACCAAAGCTCATTTCTTGACACAGGAGGGGTTGGAAGCCGTTAGTGGTTGCCGCTTGACATCATACCTTTCCAGACATGAGACAGAGAACCGACTTTCCAAAAAGAATGACCAACGTGTGATGTTAGTGGTAGCAAAACGGGCCAACGCAGTGAGG